GGCGTCGGTCAAGGCTGCGTTGAAGGCGCGACTCAACGAGCTGGTGAATACGCTGCTGGTGCTCGCGCGCGACTTTGGCTTCGACGTGGTCAACTGCGTCACCGTCATGGACAATCCGCTCTTCCTGGCCGAGCAGAAGTTCGGTCCGGGCGACGGATTCCTGCGCTTCTACCTGTTCAACTGGCGCACCAAGCCGATCGCCGGTGGCATGGGTGCCAGGCCCGGCGAGCAGGAGCTGGACCCCGTACAGGCGTATGCAAAGTCGCTCGCCAGACGCGCCGCCAGCGCCGACTCATCGGCCAAGTCGATCGCCGAATCGATCATCCGAAACGCTGCTAGATTGCCCACCGAGATCGGATCTGGAAACGGCATCGTGATGGTCTAGAATCGAATCCACTTTTTTCATCCCCAGGCCGCGTGTGTAGAATGCTGTCACGTTAAGAGCAAAGATGACATTTTGAGCTCATGCTTACGACGGCGCTAGGCAACAGGTGCCGGGCTGAGCCAGAGCAGATACACGGTGAGATTCGAACACGCCTGTGCCACCTGCCCCAACCCCCTCCTCAACTCCCTCGGAAACTCGTGTCCCACCGAGATCGCCTTGACCATCGTCGAAGTCTCGACGATCTTGCGGACGAAGTGGTGCGACTCGTCAAACAGTGCCGCTGCGGTAGCCTGCGAAATCGCATCCGTCCTTGTCTCGTCGTCGTCTTGGCGGTGTTGTTCTTCCTCGCGCGCGCGCAGATACGTCGACCTCAACTGCGATGTCAACTCGTCCGTCACCCCCGCCAGATCCCTGAGCTCACGCAGCCTCTCCAGCGATGCCTCCTCGCCCTCGGCTGCATCCACCCGAATGGCCGGCGCGTCTTGATCGTCACCGCTGCCTTTGTCGACACCCGCCGTACGCAGATGCTCAAACAGGATCGACCACGTACGCGCAGACAGCTTGGTGATGTTGTCCACCATGTCCAACAGATGGTCGTCCACACTGATCCTGGTATCGGCCGTTGCCATCTGCATGTCCTTGCCCATGCCGCCAGTACCGTTTGACGGGGCTGCAGCGTGCTTCCTGCCTGCTTCGGCGGATGTCGCCGGCGTCGCCGGCGTGCCCATGTGGCTCTTGGGCGTCCCACCCACAGGCTGCGCCTCCATGGCCGAGCTCGCACTGGAGCCGGAGCGCTTCTGTCTCGACGTCGGCGTGCTCATCGCCGGTGTCGAGTGCACACCTCGCTGCAGCACCGCCCCCACCGGCGTGCTGGGCTGCTCGACGGCGCTGCGATCCGAGTCGGACTGCGCAAATGTGGCTGCGCTGCTGGCGCTGTTTCCCAAGCTGCCCTGTCTGCGACTGCGCGCGCCCCGCGCGGGCGTGCTGTACGCCGATGCCGCCTGCAGATCCCCGAGATTGAACGGCGGCTGGTTGCTCGTGCTCGGCGTCATCGCCGCGCCCTGCGCCAAATCCTGTGCACTGAACGACCCCGCATGTCTTCTTCGACTCGGCCCACGCGCCATATACGGCCGCGACCCGGACCTGATCGGCGTCGAAGCCTCGGCAATGCTCGGCAGCATACCCGCGGCGCCGGTTGGAATGCTCGTGCTCTTCTGGCTCAGACTTCCTGCGCGTGTCGAAGGCGGCGTGGGCTTTTCCGGCGGCGTCGCACTGCCTTCCACCTCAACTGCCGCCTCCTGGTCCGCCTGCGTCAGATACGGCTGCACCGCCTCGAGCAGCGGAGCCATCTCGGTCCAACTATTGCTCACCTCGGCCATGCTGCCGTACAGCATGAGCAGCAACGTCCTGGCATACCGTACGTCCGAGCTGCTCTGCAACGCTCTCAGCTGCAGCTGAAGCACGCTGACCAGCTTGCGGAATGTGATCACCGAGTCCTTGCACGTCACGAGCACGCCGCGGATCACCGCTGGATCCGGCGTGCCGCGCCGCGAAAGCGAGTCGAACCGATCCAGCGCATTGATCAGATTCGCCACGGAGCCGTTCGAGATATCCAGCAGCCGATGGAACTGGCCCGAGATGCGCTCGTCGATCACGGGCGTCATGAACTGCCCAATGGCGGCGTGAATCTGCGAGAGCGCAAACAGCACGCCGCGCGTGCCGTCGACGAACTTGAGCACAGGCGCCGGTACGGCCTTGGAGATCGTTGCGGGCGGGAGCGTCGAGAGTCGCCGAAAGTAGCTGTTGCGCTCGTGATCCGCAGCAGCCCGTCCACCGTTGAGCGTAGGCGAGGCAGCACGCGACGGCCAGTCCCCGCGATCCGAAGACATCCTTCCGTGGCCGACGTCAAAGCGCGGCGGCGTCTGCGCGTAGCCGGCTCGAGCCGCAAGTGCCGCGGCAGCCGCATCTGCTGCAGCCTTGGTGGCCCCTACCGTGGGCAGACTGAGTTTGCGCAGTCCTCCGCCGTTGCCAGGATTGCCGCTCGCAGGGCCTTCGACGCCCGGACGTGTCGAAGTGCCAGCGGCGCCACCGAGACTTGGGCGAGGCATGCGACGTGTCTGCAGCAAAGGCTTCCTGGATGGCGGCAGCATGGCTGCGTTCGAGCCCGAGCCCGATGCCGATGCCGACGCCGACTCGGCGGCAGGGGTCGCAAGCGAAGCCGCGGTTTGGTCGGTCTGCTGGAATCGATCCGTGGTCTGGTGATCTTGGCCGCGCACCCTCGACTCAGACGTACTTTGCTCGATCGGCTGGTCGGCGGAAGCATTTCTTCGTTCCATGAGAATGTCTTCGTGGCTCTTGCGCAGATCCGGGAGCGACTTTTTGCTCTTGAGCGACCGACGCCCCTCGATCTGATGCGCGAGCGTCATGTCGTGCACCACCGAGTGCGAATTGTTGCGGCCGTGCTGGCGATTCTCGGCATCCATGGCGGCGATTCGGTGTGCGGCAGTGATCGGCGTTGGCGGCGTGAGGGCCGCCCTTGCCGTCTGCGGGGTCGCAGATTCTGCAATCGGCGGCTGATGCGAGGGATCCCTCCGGGCGTGTGCTCGCTGCGATTGATGCTCTGTCGGTCGGGCCTCTGCTGTCGCTTCTGCCGTCTCGGTGTCTGTCGAGGGCTGAAGGACGAGCGGAGGCAGCAGACCTGCACTGGCTGGCGATGGACCAGAGGCCGCCGGAGTATCGGAACTGAGCGCTGCGTTTGATGCGACGTCTTGGTGTGACAACGCAGATTCTGCGTTTGCAGCATCTACGATCTGCTCGCTGACAGTCGTCACGCTCTCTGGCACCTGTACCTGAAGCGAGATGAGATCGGTTGAAGAGGTAGACGAGCTCTCGGGCAGTCGTGTCGCCCCTGCACTAGTCGTACCTGGCTGAGAAGTCGCGTCCGTTGATATCTCGGTGTCCGCGGCCATGGCTAACGAGGCATGAGTCGTAGATGCGGACGCAGCGAGGGTGTTCTGATCCGGCTGGTTTTCGGGATCATTGATCCAGGATCGGAGCTTGGCGATCCACACGAGCATCTGGCGGTCCTCGAAGCGCTTCGCCTTGTCCCTTTCGGCAGCCGACGAGGAGCGCGACGAGCCTGGCGGCTTTGGCGGTGCGACGTTGGGCATCTTTGAGATGTGCGGAGGTGGCCACTCGAGCGGGTTGTTGTCGAGCTTGAGGATGCGGAGATGCTTCATCTTGCCTATCCAGAGCGGCAGCTCGGTGAGGCGGTTGGCGTTCATTGACAGCACGCGAAGCGACAAAAGACGACCGGGTTGCTGCGGCAGCTGGCGGATCTTGTTTCGGCTAAGATCGAGGATCTCGAGGTTGGGCATTTGGGTGACGCAGTCGGGAAAGTGCGCAAAGTTGTTGGCGCGGATGTTGAGGTAGCGGAGGCTGTGGAGGTCGGCGAAGCTGGCGGGCAGCCTGGTGATGTGATTGTAGCCCAAAGCGAGGCGGACGACGTCGTGCTTGATGAGGTCGACGAGCGCGTCGGGGACGCGATCGATGCGCTTGTGACAGAGGTCGAGAGTATCGAGCGCGTTGGTGGTGTCCGAGGCATCCTTGGCGTGCGAGCGGACGGCGTCTGAAGATGCTGCCGAGGCCGACTTGATGGCTGCAGTCTGGCGCTTCTCGTTGACAAAGGCGAGCAGGTCTGCTTCGGTGATGGCGCGGTGACTCGAGGAAGAGGATGACGACGTGGCACTCGACGGCACGGCATTCGACAGTTGCGCGCGGGACGATGCCGACGCGGCGATGGAGAGGGTGGAGGGGAGCGTATGCAGCGAGGAGGAAGATGGCATGCTGACGGTGTCGAAGGAGCGGGACTGGGACTGGGTATCGAAAGAAGAGACGGAAGGGGTGGTGGACAAAGCAGCATGCGCGAGTGACTGATCGAGCTGGTGCGAAGAGTCGGAGGTGCTCCGCTGTATTCTCGTGTCGTACTGAGGGCGCGAGTCGGTGGGCCCGAAGGAGCGATAGGATGCTGATGCAGCGCCCGATCGGCCTGCACCTATGCCTGCCATGTTGGGTGGACCATTTAGACCGTGGCCCGATGAAGACGGGTCGGAAGCTGATGGCGATGCGGAAGGAGCGGCAGCAACGGCAGCGGCGGCGGCGGCGGCGGCGGCGGCG